CTAAATTCTGACAGCATTTCTTAGTAATCTTTACATGATGGCATTGAAAGAAACCAGATGGTGACCTAATAATTTCTTTGAGGAAGTTTGGGAGAGAACTGCTCACAAAGCAACAAGGAACAATACCAGAGAAACACAATTCCTGTATGACATGCTAAGATGTGATGTAGTCAAAGCTCAGCATTAAATTACAACTGGTAATAACACTTTTCCCTTCCAGACTTAGATCCAGCTTCCCTTTCATCAGCCACTCCCTGCTGTGCACCTTCTGGTTTTTTGTTTTTGTTTTTTTTTTTTTTTAAACCACACAAGACCATTTGCTCTTCCTGCGATAAGCTGTGCCCTTTCTGTCCTCTGTGCCTTTGTCTGTAACATTCACTCTGACTAGAAAGTTCTTTCCTCCATTGTCCTCCTGAAGAATTCCTATCCACCTATCCACTACCAGGACGTCTCATTCACCTATTGGTGCATAACAAACTCCCCCCAGACTGAGTGGCTTAAAACAACTTGATTTATTATTTCCCCAAGATTCTGTGGGCTTGCCTGGGCTCCCTCAGCTGGTGGGTCATCTAAGGGCTGGGCTCAGCTGCGACACTGTCACACCTGGTCCTCTCTCCGTGTGGTTTCATCCTCCAGGGCCTCTGTCTCCACACAGCCTCTTCCCAGCACCATAGCCTAGACTTCTTGCCATGGCAACTGGGTTCCAAGAGCAAAAGCAAGAAACTGCTGGTTATCTTAAGACCTGCCTAGGGTCGGGCGCCTGGGTGGCTCAGTCGTTAAGCGTCTGCCTTCGGCTCAGCTCATGATCCCAGGGTCCTGGGATTGGTCCCACATTGGGCCCCATGCTCAGCGGGGAGCCTGCTTCTCCCTCAGCCTCTCCCCCTGCTTATGTTCCTTCTCTCTCTGTGTCTCTCTCTGTCAAATAAATAAATAAAATCTTAAAAAAAAAAAAAAGACCTGCCTAGGGTCAGAAATCCCAGAATGTCATTTCTGCTGCATATTATTGGTTAAAGCAAGTTAAACGGTCAGCCCAGATTAAAGCAGAAGGGAAATAGACTCCACCTCTTGCTAGGAGGAGCTACAGAATCACTTTACAAAGGGACGTGAAACACAGGGAGGCATAATTCACTGGGAGCCATTTTTAACAACCGTACGGCTGAAATGTCACCTCTTTGTTCATCATGTGTGATACAGAGAGAGAGCGAGAGAGGGACGACCATCACATTATTTCATTATCTCATGGACATTATCTTATTCTTCTGTCTATGTCCGTTTCCCCTGTTATACTCCGGCATGCTCCTGACACACTTGAAGGAGGCAGGGGTTTAGGAAAACAGTCTGAAAGAACAGCTTTCTGTCATCTGATTGGGGAAAGCTACACTGACGAGATGCACTTGGAAATAGAGTTTAGGGCCAGATCCTAGTGAATGGCAGAAATAGGGACTCACATCTTCTATCTACCTCATCCAAATGGCCTCCAAGTGCTCTTATCGCAATTCTTAAATATCTCTTGACTGTCCCATCCTCCCATCCACCCCTCCATAGCTTTAGTCCAGGGTCTACCTCCTCGTCTCTCCTCTGACGTAGTGTCACCGCCTGTGGGCGGGTTCCCATGAGACTAGTCTTGCCCCATTGTCCATCCTCCACACTTCCACCAAACTCCTCTGCTGATGTTAGCCCCCTGATCGTAAGCCTTCGTGGATTTCTGTCACTCTCAAGAGAGAGTTCAGTCTTTAGCACTAAATACAAGGACCCTCCATGATTTGGCCCCCTACTTAATCTCACTCTACTGCCCCCTTGCCCTTTATTTATCAGCGACCTAAACTTGTAGCTCCTCACTTCATCCATGCCTCATATACCCAGTGCCTTTGCCCATGCTAGACTCTGTGTCAAAAACTATTGCTCCCTTCTCTTGGGTAACCCCTAGTTTTCTTTCAAGACTCAATCTCTAGGAATACTTCCCTGACCTATACCCCCCTCATTCTGTATTAGGTGCCCCTCTTCTATGCCGTGATAGCACCTAGCTCTTACTGCTATCATAATAATAATACTTAGTAATCACTCACATGAATAACTCAATTCTGATACCAACTGCATGAAGGAGATACTCACAGTGGCAGCTAGTACATGACAAAGCTGGAATTTGAACCCAAGAGCCTGGCTCAAGGAGCCACTATTGAAACCACTGTACTACTTTCGTGCTCAGGTAGAGCACACATCACACTGTATTGTGTCAATTTGCCTGTAGGACCCCCCCATCTACTGTGAGTTTCTTGAGAATAGAAATCATGTCACATTCATCTTTTTATTCTCAGAACCCAACATAATGCCTGTCATATAATAGGCACTCTGTAAATGTGGGTTGAATGGATGGATGGACAAATGAATGAATGACTCCTGAAATTAGTGAATGATTCTTCTTGCTCTGTTTTTTAGGCATTTTTTAAAGATAAAAATGGCTATAGAACGAGACACATACTTCGAGAAAGACCCAAATTATATTAAGGGAAGGAACAGAGGACTGCTCATTGGTGATACATTTTCTGTTTACTGATGTTCTGTCAGCCATTTAAAAAATGCAAGCAAAATCATTTTATTAAGCGAAAATATACAATGGTGGAATGAAGAAGGTACTAGATAACAGCAAGTGTTTAATTGTTCCTTTAACTCCTCCCCATCAAGGTAAGAAATGAAATGAAGCCCACTATTAAGGTAAACCAGAGAGGGACAAAAAGGCTGTCTAAAAAAGGTATGTTTGACTAGAATGAAGATATTAATGACACCTAGAAATATAATGAAATAATTACACTGAAAGGTGGCTTGGTTGTGGAAAGCACATATATTTTGCATCCTAATAAACCTGAGTTTGAATCCTGTCTACCCCTCCATAGCTTTAGTCCAGGGTCTACCTCCTCGTCTCTCCTCTGACCTAGTGTCACCGCCTATGGCAGGTTCCCATGAGACTAGTCTTGCCCCATTGTCCATCCTCCACACTTCCACCAAACTTGTCTGCTGATGTTAGCCCCCTGATCGTAAGCCTGGGTGGCTCAGTCAGTTAAGCGTTTGCCTTTGGCTCAGGTCATGATCCCAGGGTCCTGGGATCGAGTCCCGTATTGGGCTCCCTGCTCAGTGGGGAGCCTGCTTCTTCCTCTCCTGCTCCCCCTGCTTGTGCTCTCTCTGTCAGATAAATAAATAAAATCTTTTTTATAAAAAAGGGATATGAATGGCATGATACCATTTATGTAACATACTACAATGCTACGTATTTTTCTATTCCTATTTAGTAAAAGTATTTAAAAAGATTTATCTGGAAGAATGCTCATCAAACTAAAAAATGTTTCTCTATGGGAAGAAGGGAGGGGAACAAGTTGGGAAGGTGGCCAGCAGGAGGGTCTGTGATGGTTAACTTTATGTGTTAAATTGACTAGACCACAGGGTTCCCAGATGTTTGGCCAAACCTTATTCTGGATGTGTCTATGAGAATGTTTTTGAATGAGATTAACATTTGAATCAGTAGACTGAGTCACGTAGCTTGCCTTCCGCAATGTGCGTGGCCCTCATCAGTAGAAGGCCTGAATAGAACAGAAAGGCTGACCCTTCCTCTGGCTTCCTTGCTTAAGCAGCTCAGACTGAAACACCAGCTCCTCTTGGGTCTCCAGTCTGTCAGCTCTCCTGAATCTCCAGCTTGCCAACTGCAGATCTTGGGACTCTCAACCTCCATAATTGTGCTGAACCATTCATTCATTCATTCATTCATTTTTAAGTCATCTCTACACCCAACTTGGGGCTCAAACTCACAACCTTGAGATCAAGAGTCACACGCTCCACCGACTGAGCCAGCCACGTACCGTGTGCTGAACCAATTCTTAATAGTAAGTCCAGTTTCGGGCGCCTGGGTGGCTCAGTTGGTTAAGCACTGCCTTCGGCTCAGGTCATGATCCTGGAGTCCCGGGATCGAGTCCCGCATCGGGTTCCCTGCTCAGCGGGGAGTCTGCTTCTCCCTCTGACCCTCCCCCCTCTCATGCTCTCTCTCTCTCTCAAATAAATAAATAAATAAAATATTAAAAAAATAATAAGTCCAGGGCGCCTGGGTGGCTCAGTTGGTTAAGCGACTGCCTTCGGCTCAGGTCATGATCCTGGAGTCCCGGGATCGAGTCCCACATCGGGCTTCCTGCTCAGCAGGGAGTCTGCTTCTCCCTCTGACCCTCTTCCCTCTCGTGCTTTCTAACTCTCATTCTCTCTCTCTCTCAAATAAATAAATAAATAAATCTTTAAAAAAAATAATAAGTCCAGTTTCTCCCTCTCTTTCTGTCTTTCTCTGTCTTTCTCTCCACACATACACATACACATGCATTAGTATCTATATAGACATATGTGTAGATAGATAGATAGATATGCTGCAGGTTCTGTCTCCCTGGAGAGCCCTAACCAATAGAGATTTTAGCTTTATCCTTTTTATAAATTTTTATTTTTTATTTTTTTATTTTTTAAAGATTTTATTTATTTGACAGGGAGAGACACAGTGAGAGAGGGAACACAAGCAGGGGGAGTGGGAGAGAGAGAAGCAGGCTTCCCGCCGAGCAGGGAGCCCGATGCGGGGCTCAATCCCAGGACCCTGGGATCATGACCTGAGCCGAAGGCAGACGCTTAACGACTGAGCCACCCAGGCGCCCCAGCTTTATCCTTTTTAATGTTCTGATTTTTTAAAAGGAGAATGGATTCATGTATTGTATTTAGTAACTTTATCTTCAAAGAACCAAAGCATGTCAAGCCTGTCTTACTATTCCCAGTTACTAGATAATGAAACTGGAAGGGTAAGTGACTGCCTCATTCTCCGTAGCTCTCACACACACAATGCGAAGGGAAGTTGCAAAGGCAAATGCAGCATTATAAAAGAAAAGAACTTAGAGCCCCTTGTTAGGACATAGAAATTAAAGGTATCATATTTTGATTTTTCCTTCTCACCTTCTTTTCTCAAATCTTCCATGCCAAAGGGGTGAACTCACAAGCATGGAGAAAGAGAGAGGGAGAAACCAATGTCTCATGAACATGGTAATTAACTCCATATTACTTTCAAGATTTGAGGATGTGCCAAAAGTTGACCCCTTGGGTGTGGACTGAATACTGCTTTGGAAATCATGGAGAATCAGTGCTTCAGAAACATAATTTACGGGCACAGTTGATAGACAGCAACATTTGCAGTGGAAAATTCCTCTCACTCCCAGGTTGAAGGATGGGGATAACTCTTCTGGACAGGGAAAATGTGCTTGGAAATATGTAAGTAAGAGAGAAGCAGAAACAAATTAAAAGGTGGGGGGAACCATATGAATATATAATCCTGAGCTTTCTTGACTATTTCTTTTTTTTTTAAGATTTTATTTATTTGGGAGAGAGTAAGTGAGCGAGCGAGCGAGAGAGAGCACAAGCCAGGGTGGAGAAGCGAGGGAGAGGGAGAAGCAGAATCCCCGGTGAGCAGGGAGCTCAATGTGGGGCTTGATCCCAGGACCCTGGGATCATGACCTGAGCCCAAGGTAGACACTTAAATGACTGAGCCACCCAGGTGACCCATCTCTTGACTATTTCTAGGGAAATTTGTATTGACATGAAATCTACTTGGGGGATTTTCTGTTTTACTTAAAAGGGGAAAATAGCAATAAAAGTGTTTCTCTTGTCAACAGAAGCTGAAACCCACTTTCTGCCAAAAGAAGAAAAGGCTACTGCATCTTAGATTTTGGGGGGGTCCTCTGCCACATTTCAAATCAATGGTTTGACCTTTAAATTAAAAATGTTATATTAGTTGTTACACAAATAAAATGCCCTATTATCCAAATAGAATCATATATTTTTTCTTTTCTTTCTTTCTTTTTTTTTGAATATTTTTTTTCAAACCTATTCATTTATCAGGATACTTCTGAAAGCTGATTTCAGAATTCTTCCTTTCCCTTGATTAACTATAACTTTTTAAAAACAATGTAACTTAAAAGTATAAAACAACAGTATTGCATTTAAGGAATTCCAAATGGTTATGTGGACTTCTGGTTTGAACTTAAACATGGTCTGTCAAGAAACTGTATATGTGGTACTTATAGGAATGTATGCTAGTAATATTTTATTGTGAAGTTTTCATTATTTATTTGTAGAACCCAATGTTTTTATTTTTTATTTACTTTTTAAAGATTATTTATTTATTTGAGAGAGAGAGAACACAAGCAGGAGGAGGGGCAGAAGGAGAGGGAGAAGCAGACTTCCCGCTGAGCAGGAAGCCAGAGGCAGGGCTCCATCTCGGGACCCTGAGATCATGACCTGAGCCAAAATTAAGAGTTGGATGATTAACCAACTGAGCCACCCAGGTACCCCTGTTTTGTTTTTTTTCTAGGTATTCTCTACACCCAACATGGAGCTTGAACTCATGACCCCGAGATCAAGAGTCTCATGCTCTTCTGACTGAGCCAGCCAGGCACCCCAAAACTTGTTTTCAGATTATCAAATGGGGGCACCTGGGTGGCTCAGTCTGTTGAGTCTGGCTCTTGATTTCAGCTCAGGTCATGATCTCAGGGTCATGGGATCGAGCCCTGCATTGGGCTCCATGCTCAGTGGGGAATCTGCTTGAGATCTTCTCTTTCCCTCTCCCTCTGCCCCTCCCCCATGCTTGCTCGATCGCTCTCTCTCGAATAAATAAAAAAGTAGATCTTTAAAAAAGTGTGAAATATTTTACTTATACAGAAAAATATAGAGGATAATACTATAAACTCCCATATACTTATTGCCCAGTGTTGTCAAATCTTAAAAGTTTCCCATATTTACTGAAGATCCTTTTTAAAAAAAGAAGGAAATGTGACTTTACAGATATAGTTGAAATTTCCTGCCTCCATTCATTTCCCATCTCCCTTCCTCAGAAGGAGCCACATCATGGACCTGATGACTTTCATTTCCATGAATGTTTTCTTATTTTTACCACAAGGTGTTTATCCATAAACTGTATAGGACATTGTTTTGCATATTTTAAGTTTAATCAGTAGTACAGGCAGTACACAGTGCATGAGAGCGCCGGCACTGGAGCCAGAGGTGGTCTGGAACATCTGCTCTACATGTTACTAGCTATGTTACCTTGGACAAATTACTTCATCTCTCTGTGCCTCAATTTTCTCATCTATAAAATGGAAATTCAGAAAAATCTTACCTTGTAATGTTGTCTTAAGGATTAAATAAGTTGATACATATAAAGCACTTAGAGCATGATAAACTAAGCATAATGTGTTATCTATTATTCCGCACCTTGCTTTGTTTTTTTACATAACATTTTTGAGATTTAGCCATGTTGATACATGTAGCATTAGTTCATCTTCACTACTGCATAGCATTCTGTCATATGAATATACAGCAATGTATCTCCTCTTCTGTGATGGACATTTAGGTTGTTTCCATTATAAAAAGTACTGTAATGAACATTCTTGTACATTTTTTTGGTGCACATCTATATGAGAATTTCTCTAGAGTTCTTCATCTTTAACTTTCTCTTTTTTAATTTTTTTAGTAATCTCTACACCCAATGTGGGGCTTGAACTCACGACCCCGCAAATAAGAGTTGCATGCTCTAGGGGTGCCTGGGTGGCTCAGTCAGTTGAGTGTCCAACTCTTGACTTCTGCTCAGGTCATGACCCAAGAATCCTGAGATCAAGCCACAAGAGGGGCTCTGCACTCACTGGGGAGTCTGCTTGAGATTCTCTCCCTCTGCCCTTCCCCCCGCTTGTGTGTTCTCTCTCTCTCTAAAATAAATAAATCTTAAAAAAAAAAAAAAGGGCGCCTGGGTGGTTCAGTCTGTTTAAACGTCTGCTTTCGGCTCAGGTTATGATCCCAGGGTCCTGGGATCGAGTCCTGCATCGGGCTCCCTGCTCGGCGGGGAGCCTGCTTCTCTCTGCCTCTGCGTGTCTCTCTCTCTCTCTCTCCCTGTCTTTCATGAATAAATAAATAAATCTTTAAAAAAAAAAAAGAGTTGCATGCTCTTCTGACTGAGTCAGCCAGGCACCCATCATCTTTAACTTTCTAGAAAGATAACGTTTTTAGAAAATATGGCTTTGATTTCTTTTTCACAGGCAAAGGAACTATGTGTCTCATCCATTTCAAAGTCTTCAAAATCGATTCTTATTGTACACTTGAAACTAATATAACACTGCATATTAATTATAGTTGAATAAAAGATATATCAAATATGTTAAGGGATGCCTGGGTGGCTCAGTCAGTTAAGCGTCTGCCTTCCACACAGGTCATGATCTCAGGGTCCTAGGATCAAGTCCTGTCTCGGGCTCCTTGCTCCCCGGGGAGCCTGCTTCTCCCTCTGCTTGCCACCCCCCCTGCTTGTGTGTGCACGCACTCTCTCTCTGACAAATAAATAAATAAAATCTTAAAAAACAAAATATGTTGGGCGCCTGGGTGGCTCAGATGGTTAAGCGTCTGCCTTCACCTCAGGTCATGATCCCAGAGTCCTGCGATCGAGTCCCGCATCGGGCTCCCTGCTCCTTGGGAGCCTGCTTCTCCCTCTGCCTCTCTCTCTGTCTCTCATGAATAAATAAATAAAAATCTTAAAAAATATATATGTTAAAAAACCAATAGTGTTTGTGACTTTCTAAACATTTGCAGCTACCCTCTTGAGCATCAGAATTACAATTTGGTTGAAGTGATGATGTCATGAAAGCAAACACTGGTCTTATTATTTTTTGATCACCTTTTAATTTTTACATACTGCTATCTGCAAACTGAAGCATAGACCCTAACCTCCAATCAAACAGCATGCCATTTCTTATGCTTTGTATAAAATCAGGGTTTTTTTTTTATACATAGTGATTGATCATTGTACTTGAAAGGTCATTATACCTCAAAGGTTTCTGAAGTCTATGTCACAACAGCTGTAACTAATGAATGTTTTTTCAAACTCTAAAATTGTTATTTCTTCTTGGGAAGAGACTGAATTGGTTAAGTGGGTGTCGTATTAGTTTTAACTTGCTGAATGGTAGGCTGTAAACCTTAAGAATGTTTCCAACAACTCATAAAGGAATAAAGATCCCAGTTGAAATGTCTCTGATGACTGGGATCTCAGACTACTAACCTCATCAAGTTTCATCTGGTAGTCCTTTTGAAAATTTATTCAAATTTTATCATTTTCTCATCCTGAAGATTGTAGGGAAGTGTTATTTTTTCAAAATAGGAACAACTTTTTTTTCACACAACTTCTGATAGCCTTTATTTTTTGCATTTTCTTGTGCCAGTAATTGATACACTTTTCTTTTAAGAATATCTAAATAGCTATAATGTTTTGCCTTGTGAAGTGACTTTAAATTGATTCTCAAAGTGTTCTATAAACCATATTTAAATCTGAAAAAATAAAACCTCAGTAGAGATTCCAAAGCTGATCTCATTTTATGATTTGGCACCTAGACATTTGGATGTCCCACACTCTGTGAAACAAGTCATCTACTTTCATTGTTGGTAGCCAGCTCTTCATTTACAGCTCTAAGAAAATATATGTCAGGTTTTATGGCTTCGTAAATAAATCTAAAAGCACCTTTGAAAAAAAAAGTGTCTATGAAAGGCATTCCAAACTAATGGATATATCAAATGTCTATTAAGCACCAAGTTTTACTTATCTACTGTGCTGGATAGATGTTCCTGTTCTCAAAATGAGTAAGCATACTAAGTTTGGCCAGGAAGCAGAAGACTATGATCCAGTATCTCAATGTGGTCTGGAAAGTGTGTTCCCTAGTGGTATAGAGAAATAGCCCAGGGCTTGGAGATGAGAGGACTAGAGTGTTGCTCCTAGCTCTGTCACTGGACAATGTGTTATAGTGGGGACTTCATCTCTTGACTTTTCAGCTTTTCCTCTGAAAAATGAAGTGTTTGGTCTGGATGCTCTTCTATGTATCTTCTAGACAATTCTATGAACTGTAAGGAAGGGACCAGTGTGGATTATAGTATTCAAGAGAGATGTTAAGGAGAACATGAAGCTTTACAAAGTCCCATGAAGGATTCAGATGCTTGGGAGGCGAGCAGTGTTTGGGCATAACTAAATTGGTTCCTACAGCTAGATATGACTGCTTTTATTTATTTATTTTTTTTAAAAGATTTTATTTATTTATTTCAGAGAGAGAGAGAGAGCACATGAAAGGGGGAGGGTCAGAGGGAGAAGCAGACTCCCCGCCGAGCAGGGAGCCCGATGCGGGACTCAATTCCGGGACTCCAGGATCACGACCTGAGCCGAAGGCAGTTGCTTAACCAACTGAGCCACCCAGGCGCCCGATATGAGTTTGTAGTGTACAGTAAAAAACTGCGAAAGTAGAAAAATATATGTATTTCCCTACTTTCTTGGGTGGATAAATTTGAAATGTATTTTCAGATGATTAGAGGATGGCATATTAAAATATACTATTATTATTATTATAATTTTTGAGTATTTAACATCACTAGGTTTTTTTTTTTTAATGTACCAACTCAGGTTAAAAGCAAAATAGAATTCTATTAAGTCTATCAGTTATAACACAAAAAATTTCATGACTCTGGACATTATCTTTGATTGTGATCCATGGCAAATATATTTTTACAACTGGCTCTCCATGGGGGAAAATAGCCCTGATCTCTTGCATTTGCTGATTTTCATGGTGTAAATGCTCTCACCATGTCCGAGTTCAAGATCCCAATGTGAGGTCACTAACTGGAGTTGGGAAGACGTGCACACTCAGCTCTTGTGAGTCAGTGGTAGCAGGCTCTAGCATACCACCATAATATGTACCATGCATATAAGGAATATATTTACCTTTCTTTCTGACCCATCGGAGTATAAG